AAGAATAGTGTCGGTAGGTATCTACAAACTGAAAGGTCTGTAAGTCATTCTTCACAGTCAACTTTATCAATAAAAAATGTCACTTTGTTCTTCACTGGTGTTACTCTCTTAGTTTTTAATGTTTCATACTGAGTTGAGGAAGGGAGATACACCTCATTTTGAGACCCCTGAAGACACAATCCCCAAATTCATAGAATACTAGAAAACAGGTCTGTCTTTTCTAGGCTGAGAGTAGGAAAAGCAAAACTGATGTCTACAAAGGCTTGTAGTAAAATGTCATGTAGGGAATCAGTAAAGGAAAGGTCATCCACCGGGAAATAGAATCGGATTAATTCCCGTGACTGCAGAACTAATCTCCAAAGTGAGGTTTAAGACACCAGAAATGTATCCTCTCAGAGTCCAAAAAGAGGGAAGTCAAATTTGATCTCCCAAGGTTGAACATTGATATAGACCAAGGAGTCACCAATACCATGTTCCCTTTGCAGGATCTAAGGGAGAATCTGTCTCTTTGAGTGTCTGGTGAAGGCCAGCATTAATTGACTTACAGCTACTTGGTTACATAACTACCATCACATTGTCCATTTTTCTTTTCTGTATGCTGATTGTCCATGTGACCCCCTCTTAGATAGGCACGTGTACCTGCTAAGCCTGCTCTGAAAACCCAGCATAAGCTTCCTGCCCAAGAGCCTTTAACTGAACCATACACAAAAAAATGTTTCTCCTACAGAATATAACATTTATGAGTTCAGAAAATTAAAGCCTGGTATCTGAGGTTATTCTTTCCACTTAATTGCAAGAAGTTCTCAGTGAACAGGTATATAGCATTCATTTCTTTTTTTTTATATCCTGAAAATTTGCAGTCCAAGATTTGAGAAAGTTGTAATCTATTATCACAATCTTAGAGAATCGAGATGTAAATTCTTCCACAGAGTCCATGCAGTCAAATAATATTTAGAAGGAATATAAACCATGGTGATCAGTTTTTGCACACATATGAATCACCAAAATTGCAAATACAACAAAGATTTCCATACATGAAAAGATGTGGCACATTATACATTGAAAAATGTAAATGTTCCCCATATGTTCTTAATGACTATGACATCAGGGCTATAGTTATTTATAAATATTTTAAAATCCTTTGTGAAGCATTTGCTGAGATAGTTAAACAATTAAGTCTTATAGAACATATGGTGAAATAGTTCATACTATGGATACAACAGGCTCAACTTCATTTTACCTTTGCTGTAACACTTAGGGACTCCTTTTCTTTGTATTGTTCTGTTCTACTGTTATCTTAAAAGTTTACCATTTGGCAAGTTATTGATCATATTAAAATGAGTGGAAGATGACAGCAAGTCCTAGGGAAGAGCATGCACTCGGCTTCTGGCAAGTGATATCACCAGTTGAGGAACTTACCTACACAAGCAGGCCCCTTCTGTGAGGACAGGCTTTATATAATAATAACGAGACCTCGATATTCTCAGGAAATAAAGCATTATCTCTTCAGGCTACAGACCAAGAAGAGGAATCCCGCTCAGAGGAAACCCAGCTCTTTGCAACCACTCATTATAAAGTGTGACAATGGTCCTCTTGCCCTTTCAAGGAGGCTGTGGTTTGCTCTGTCTCAGAAAGCTACAAGGAAGATGGAAGCAAAGGCACACCATTACAAAGACCCCGGCTCCCTACTGCAGTGGTCTCCAAGGGATTCTGAGAAATCCATCTACCTGTGATGTGGGAAGGAGAGGTGGATTTTGATTACTATCTGACAATGCTTGCCACATGAACCATGTCTGTCTCAGAAAAAATAAAACCATAATTATGGAAGTAGCCATCAGAAGTCTTGACATCTATGATCAGTGAAGACTCATTCTACCCAAGTAACCATTATCTTTGGTGGGAGATGAGGTAGGAAAAACACAATTTATTCAAAATTACCCATATGTTACTTTAGGTCATATTTCTCAAATAATGATCAATGGAGGGACTGAGTCTTAAGACTTACAGCAGATTTTATCATTAAGCAGTATATGTTAACCTTCCCCATCTCTATGCTTCTTCAATTGAGGGAAGAAACAGACTAAGGAAGTTAGATGTTTTCCCGGAGCCTCTTGGCCTAGGCAGGGTTCCAAAGGCTGAACTAGGGCAGGCTAACTGGTGGGTCGTGCTCCCCTGGGTGGAAAAGACAAGTCTGCTTCTCAGGCACAGGAAGGACATGGGAGTGAGGAACTCTCTAATTTTCAAGTCCACTGAGCAGAGTACAAGGGTAAAGTCCAAACTAAAGAGTTTCCCACTGAGAGCTGGTAGGATGGATCAAGTGAGTCCTGTAGGCTGAGGAGCCTGGAAGGAAGCCCAGAGGCCATTGCCTGCTCTGGACCCTGAAGGAATGGAGAGTTTTCTATCCCATAATTGCCTTTATCTTGAGATTTATCCTCCTTCTCCATGTGGATAAGGTAATTAGAATCTGAATCACTCACAGAGTGTGATAGCTGATCAGTGGCTAGTGGTAGAGGAAAAACAAAATCCTGCAAATAAAGTTAGTAGACTCATCTGCAAAAATTAATGTTGAGAATGAAATTTGCTTTCATTTGCACAGAGAAGTGTGAATTAATAAGATGTTGATTCAATGTCTGTCCCTCCCACTAAGTTGTCTGTGGTCTCACCGAGAGTTCCATGTTCTGCCATCTTGGTTTTGTCTATAAAGTGGAGGATCACAATTACTCATAGTTATTTTAAATATTTAAATAAAAGAAAGTTCAGGTATATTTATCAAGGTATTAAATAGGAAGAATAAATACAAACTTTCACCAAATACATTTATTTTCTTTCCTTTTCTTCCTTTCTTCTTTCCTTCCTTCTCTCCCCCATCTTTCATTAATTGTTTCTTTTTTTTAGTGATTATAACATCTGCCCCTTTTACCTTAAAAATTAAGAGTTAAATCATGATGACTGATGCATCTAACAAAACCATATGCCAATTTGGGAACATTTTCTAATAGATTTGAGCAGTCCCTGTGTCTTAGATACCACTTTCTGCTGTGATAAAGTACCCTGCTAGGACCAACTGAAGAGAGAAAGGGCTTTTTTTTTTTTTTTTTTTTTTTTTTTTTGGTTTTTCGAGACAGGGTTTCTCTGTGGCTTTGGAGGCTGTCCTGGAACTCGCTTGGTAGTCCAGGCTGGTCTCGAACACAGAGATCCGTCTGCCTCTGCCTCCCGAGTGCTGGGATTAAAGGCGTGCGCCACCAACGCCCGGCTGAAAGGGCTTTTTTGTCTCACAGTTCAAGTTTCAGCTCACTGTGGTGGGGGTTTGGGGTAGCAGGCCTTTGAAGCAACTGGTCACATTTAATACACAATCAGGAAACAGGGATGAATACAAGTTGCTACTCAGTGCTCTTTGAGCTAGGTAATGCACTGCCCCACCATAGGTGGTCTTCATACATCACCAACATAATGAAGACACTCCCCTACCCAGGGAAAGATTCAGTGGGCAAATGCACTTGTCTCCTTAGATCCCACATGGTAGAAGGAGAGAACCAGCCTCCCCAAGTTGTCCTTTGACCTTCACACGGCGGTTGTGGCTATACATCCCCACCCACAATAAAAATAAAAATAAGTCAAGATGGTACAGAATGGCTTAGTGATTAAAATCATGCACTGGTTTTGCAGGGGACCAGAGTTCGGTTCCCAGCATCTATGTTGGGTGGTTTATGACTTTATGTTATTCTAGTTCTAGGTGAATCTGACACCCTCTTCTGGCCTCCAAGGGCGCTGGTATTCACTAGCACACAGACACACACAAACACACAAACACACACACATACACACACCTGATAATTAAAAAATAAAATGCTATGTTAATTTAAAGAAAACTCCCCATAATCAACCAAAGGCCCATTTCCCTTCTAGATTTTTCGAGTTGATAACTAACAGTAAACATCACATCCCATAAGCCTAAGAATATTTCTAAGACATTAAGTAAATAAACGCAATAAAAATTGGTATAGTACAAATGGTTTGAAAAATATTCACAGAGATATTCTAGTATTTTCTGAGGTAAATACTAATGATTCTCTCAAGTGTACTTATTTTCCAAAGCTGGCCGTGTTTCCTATCACTGTCCTCTCCAGATCAGTAAAAATTTCATTTTCAAGGACTTCCATTTGGTCTATGGAATTCATTGTCACTGGGCATGGTAGTACAACTTCAGGCCAACAGTGAGAACAGTATTCATTGGTGATTGCGAGAACAAAGGGAGACTCTTATAAAGGTGTTGAGGCAGAAAGGGAAAACATGCCTGGGGGACCAGGGAGAAAGAGGGAACTGGTCAGTCTTCTTGGCACCCTGATGCCTGGCAGTGAAGGGAATGTGGCACTCTGTGTCCTTGTGGAGAGCTGAGTGGGAGGCTTCCAGATGATCACACACTAAAGATATCTTGGGAAATGGGCTTGATGATCCCAAGGAATAAAAATTGCAACGCAAGTTGGGAAGCATATAAAATTGGATGGTGTGCTGATAATAGGTATGCATTCCAAATAGACTGAACAAGAAAATCCATGGAACTTTCAGAATATCGCAACTTTGTAAAAATTATATTATCCATATTTATTAAGATTGTAATGTGTATCTGGAGGTGCTGGTGCACACCTTAAGTTCTAACACTTGGGAGGCAGAGACAGGTGGATCTCTGTGAGTTGAAGGTCAGCCTGGTCTAAAAAGCTACACAGAGAAACCCTACCTTAGAAAAAGAAAGGATTGTACTGTGTGTCTGTTACTATACTAAGCCTTTGAGAGGCACAATATTAATACTTCACATTTCCTTTAAGAGTTAGAATTAATATTGTTCTCATTAACTAATCACAGGAACTGAAATTTAAAAAGAAAAGTTCTTAGTCTTAAGTAATTGTCTGGAACTCCAAGTACTGAGCAAAAAGCACTTACTCACAACCTAGCTAGGAAAAGAACTCAGTTTGTAATTATTTTTCATGATACTTAAATTCTAGGAAAACTTAGGTCATATCCTCTGAGATGGATGGATGACAGTTGGTGCTGGAAAGGCATGCCTCACTCGGGCTACACTGCAGCACCTCAGAACGATCTCCCTCAAAGACAATTCGTCTGCCAGCATCAGCAGAAAGATCTTGCAGAGTGAAGAAGCTGTGGTAATTGTGACCAGCAAGCCTTTGCTGAATCATCCTCTTCAGAAATACCACCCTGATTCATCGGCTATGCTTTTTACGTTAATTGCATTTAACGTCTGACATCTTCGATACCCTTTCTCCACATCGCTGAATCCTAAGAAGAAAACAAGACAAGCCAAACCCAGATTATGACTGAAATAAAAACTGAGCATTAGTGAATTAAAGTGAAAACCGAATGTGTTCAATATACCATGAAATTCAAAAGGTTTTATAATCCATAAGGTAAAAAAATAACAGTGCTTTTTCTTAATGCTGGGTGTTAATTTTGTCTATACTTTGTAGAATATAAATAGTATTATGCTCCATAAAATGATACTGATATGATTGTTGTAAGGAATAAAATTATCAGGAAGCCAGAGTCTTTTAAAATTAGCTGTCTTTTTAATCATTATAAAATTGCAAAATGACTAACAATGAACATATAGTTAACTAAATTTGTTAGCTTTTGTATAATAAAGTGTACCCTGCCTGGCCTTTAGTTGAAAGTGATATTTGAGCATCTAATGTAAGTATTCAGAAAAAAAAATCTCCACAATACTGGATCACACAGGCCAACTTGCCAATGACCTTTTCTCTTCCTTGAGAAAATCTTATTGTCTGTACCAAATATGTTCTCTTTTTGCTGGTATGTTATCACTTTCCCTTACTGTAATAGCAGCCCTCTGGTTTTCATGGGGACTCTGCTCATCTCCATCAGGAAGTCTTCTTTGGCTTTTCTGAATTATAGATCATGATGCAAAGAGGTGAGTTGGCATTGCCTCCTCATCACTTCTGAAGACCAGTCAGATAGTAGCTCAGGAATCTGGCCCAAGGACAGGCATGTTTGGTGCTGTCTTTGATCACACCTTCCCAAAGAGATCATGCTATTCTCGGCTCAGATTGTCACTGCCCTGATTCTTGGTCTCAGGAAGTCTGGGTGTTCTTCTATTTCTAATACACTACTCCACATTCTTCCACTAAATATCTCTTCCTGAAACATAAATGATTTTTGTTGTCACCATCCCTGAATGTTTGGTTTTTAACGTTTTCTGTGAGCTGAGAGCCTCTCTTGACTAAAAGAATAGATTACTCCAATCGAAACCTGTGTCATAATAGATAAAAAAAAATACATAAAAATGAAGTGAGAGACAAGTTCTCCCTCAGTGTTCATTCGCTGCCCAAGCCCTCATTACTCTTGAGTTTTCATCACTGGGGGAAATCCAGCCAGCTTATCTCTTTTCTACTTGAGGTTTTTCAAAGCCTGCCTCCTGGTGAGCCTCTGTGCCCAGGACAGTATGTTGAAAGGCCCTTTGCCACTTTAAAGAAATGTACACAGAGACTTAAAAAAAAAACTTAGAGATGATTGCAGGGGAACAGCAGCATATCAGGGTCTTGTTTACACTCCTGTTTTTAAACTGTGTATCTGGCCCCGCCTCCTGCCCCAAGGCCTGCAAGGCTCATCTGCTACCTCTCAGGCTGACACTTGGTCCTTACTCTTATTCTTGTCAAGCGCTCCGCTCTCTCATGCTTTGTCTAGACCCCTCACAAGCTTGAGTTCTCACTGAATTCTGTAGCCACCAGAGGATGAATACATATGAACAAATGGCCCACTGCTGTCATAAGCGACTCTGACAATTTCTGGAGGAGGGAAAACAGTAAAATTACAACAGAATGCAATTTACTCCTTGTATCCCAATAGAAGAACAGAAGGTCCATGAACTTGAATAGGAAATGGGAAATAAAACCAAAAACTAACCTCTAACCCAAGACCCTCAAACGCAAATGCAGTATTTTCATTGACTATCATTAAAGGCAACAAACAGCTACGGTGTTAGTAATACCTGTGACATTTTCCTGAGAAACAACAGTGAGTTTACTATTACTGTAGAGTTCTCACACATATCTTGAAATGTAGTTTATACTTGTCAACTGCTTGCTACAATGACAGTAATTGGATAGGTCTTTTTGTTGATTTTTTAATTGACAAGTATTTAACTTTTCTTTTACTGTTAAAAATGTCTTCATAACTGATTTCTTAAGTAATTCTCTTTTATGCATATTTAAACATACAGAGAAAGAACCTATGAACTCCTTCATTTTGGCAAAGCACCTGTTTCAGCTAAAAGGCTTGAAAGCTTTTCAGAATGGGCCTGCAGAAGAAAGAACAAACAGGGATGCAGACAGTCAGACCTCTAAGTAAGCATGACTTTTTACTCGGGAATGTCCTTGGAATAGTATCCCCTATATCATTCATAAACACGTAGAAGGAATCTCCCTGTGGAATCGTTTCCCTTTGTCCATGATGGCAACACTGATTTTAGTTTACTGTACTTTAAAAATCTTAGGTACAAATAGGCTCACTAGTAATTCCAATATGCCAGGACACAGTCTAGCATTCTGAATCACATTACTTACCTAAAAATTATAAAATAAACAAGCAAAGGATGAAGAACTGAATTTGGAGACATGAATACATAAGCTATTTTTAAAGGCTAATTTTTGAAAAGGAAATGTCTTTGCAACAAACATCTTGAGTTACTATGTGACTTATTTTCATAGTGTCTCTATATTTCCTGGCCTTATCGTCATTGTCCTCAAATCAAACTGTTGAAATAGAATACGTATGTTGAGAGAAGAAAAAAAAACCTGTCACCCAAAGATATAATTGTTAGTTAATTTGAACTTAAGGACTTTATGTCTACTGTGTACTTTGTACATTGTGTCCAACAACAGAATGTCTCAGAAAACAAAAGAACTCCTTTCTTACTCATAGCATACTTGTTCTGTTCTGTACACATGCATAACTGTGTTATTACTTACCAGAAATTCGTGGTCACTATTTAACTCCTTGACTGTCATTTCCTTACAGTGTTTATAATTTTGTTTTCTGTGATGGTGTTGTGAAGGTTGTTTATTTAACCATACTGTAGTCTTTTAGCATCATTTTTTTCCACTACAGTCTCACCTTTTATCTAAAATATCTTCTTTCTTCAAAAAGTATCAGCTGAAGACAAATTATTCATTTCTTTTACTTGTTTCCAACTAGTCTGTCCTTCCTGGGTACATTGTTTATGTGTGTTTCACTCTTTTCTATTGGTGGCTTATGTTGGCTCTTCCTTTTTCACAGGATCTTTGCTGTCTGAATTTCCTTGATTGGCCACTTTTGTGACCATTCCTTCGTGGGAAAACCTGGTTTCAAGGTGCTAGTTGAATTACTTAAACCAGCTGACTTCTGATGAGTTTTTTACTCTAGTAGATTCTAAGTTCTGTTTTGTGCTTCTTTTTGTTTTGTTTTACAAATAATTTCAAAATGCTGTAACAAATCCCAGCTCAATGACACTGTCACATCTAAGAACAGAAGTGACAAATGAGATATCGATAATCTCAGATGTGGGGTATATTAACCACACATTAGCTCAAGTGCTTTTCTTCTTCACCTTCCTCTACCCTATCAAATCAACTATGTCTTGAATTTCCCATAACATACCCTCCCTACTACAGTCAAGCTGAATACAGACTTGTTCCACCAAGTATGTTTATAATTATAATACTAAAATGTATTGGTTGTCTTCTCATTAAAATAGAGCCAATGGAGCATAGACATACATATATGACAATATGCTATGTTTATTACAAAGAATCCATTCATGTAATATGGAGGCTGGCAAGTCTCGAGATATACTAGGTGATCTGGTAAACAAAGACCTTTTTAGTTTAAACCCAAAGGTCTCAGAACCAATCAAGCTCATGGCATTGGCTCAGCCTGAAGGTTGACAGGTTCAAGATACATGAAGAGCTGGTGGTCCAGGTTGAGCCAAAAGACATGAAAGAAACAAGTCAATATCCCTGTTCAAAGGATACCACACAGGAAGAATTCTCTTCCGTTACACATTTGGGAAGGGCATTTGTTTGCATCTATTCTGCCCTCCCTTTAATTGGATAAGACCTAACAACAGTAAAGCAATCTAATTTTCTCATTCTTCCCCCACCAGATCTAATTGATTCTGAAGGCATTCTGATAATTGTTCTCAGAGTAATATCTGAACCTTCCACGGCCCAGGCCCAGCCAAGTTCCTGTTGATGTACAAAGCTTACAGTCGTACTTGCTGTCCTCCCATGCCTTGGGGCCCTCCTCCTTACCACTCATCTTCCAAGCACTATCTCATTTCTGGAAGCTTTCCTTTATAGATTTCTTCCCACTTTCAACTGCCTCTAGCACTCAGAGTCAAGCCATGTTTCAGTCCAGGGCAAGCTGGTGTGTTAGACTAGCACTTACCTGGCTGGATATGTTTCTTTTGGTAACATCCACCCACAGATAGGATTCCTGTCCTATTTTTCTGCAGATCTCCCTAAATCCTAGCAAACTAATAGTTTTGTTTTTACAATTAAGTCCAGAAAATATTTACCATTGTGTTTTTACTAGCTGAAAGATACCAGAGGATCATTCTAGGTAGAAGGAGCTTGCTACCGATGAAATCCAGGCACTGATACTGTATTTGGGGACTCACTTAGTTGAGACAGTGATGAATTTCTAAAGTATTACTCTATTGGCTAGATAAAATGACGTCAACAGAGAGTTTACCTTAACCTGAATTCTCACAGTTATACAGATATTCTGGGGGAAAAAAAAACCTTGGGAAATGGTTTATTCGTTACTACATGTGTCCAGTATGATATCAAGTGGATATCAAGCTGCACTTGCAAGGAGACAATTACAGTCAGGCTACTAGAAAGAGACTCCCGTGCTATCTAGTGAAGGTTGCAAGCAGAAAATGTTTCTCCCCTCCCATAAGGCCTAGCATCCTCTTTGGTTGATTTCAGCCAATCACATTCTAACTGTGGTGGAAAAGTGAAGTAAATTGACAGTATTTACAAGAGCATACAGATTTCTGAGGAGCTGGAGATGCTCTCTGTATGTCAGTTATTAGCTTTCATTAGCAAGCACTCTTGGAGGAGAGTTATGGCCATGTGGAAGAAAGCGTCAGGAGCTAAGACGGAACAGGTACTCTATGATCAGGCCAGCCTATGTGTTCCTACATGTAAGAGCAGACTGCTGTCACTGATGAATCCAGCAGCTACTCTGAACATCAACAGGTATCCTTATGGGACAGCCCCCTCACCCCCAGGCCTGACCAAGTGAACCACCTTTGACAATGACATCAGGTTTTCCTATTATTTGGTGGAATTACTCCCCTGCCAACTTTCCGTAGATGTCTCCCTTTTCAGAACCTCCTCTTTGCTCACCTAGACGCCTTACAATAAATAGTCTTTGAACCCTTATTTGTGGAGTCCTGACCTAATGTTTTCAGGTCTTGGAACAGAAATACAAAAGGAAATCAATATCACATCTAAGTATTTGTAAGCTTAAACATTTAAACCAAGTGTTTCATCCTGGGTTCTAGACTGCAAAGCAAGGTTCAAATCCCT